GTTGGTCTCAAACCCGTGGACTCAGGCAATCCATTAGCTTCGGCCTCCCAAAGTGCTGGGATTACAGGCTGAACCACTGAGCCCAGCCAATACACAGTTTTTTAAAAAATTAGTCTTATGTTTACCAATTTTAAGCTTAAATCATTCATTCTGATTTTCAACAAGTATTTATTCTGTCTCTCTGAATAATATTTGTTATATTACTTAGGCAATCACAGCAAATAAAACATGTTCCCTGGCCATGAACAATACAGAGTCCAAGAGGAGAGATAACCAAGGAAACAAATAATTAAAGAATATAATACATATTAAAATGCAGGTACATAAGGGATAGTAACTGGCTCCTTAGCAGACTGGATAAGGTCTCATGGAGGTGGCGACGTCTAGCTTATTCTTGTAGGATATACTGTAGTCAACTAGACAGAAAATATGTGAGAAGTATATTCTAGGTAGATAGCTTATGTCAGAGCAAGACTTGTGAAAGAACTCAGTATATTCAGGTCTATAAGTAGGAACATATGTCTGGAGTATTAAGTGTGTAGGAAAGAAGAGAGGCAAGATGGCTGGACAAGGAATTGGGACCAAACTGTAAAGGGATTTATAAGTCTACATGTTAAGGAGTTTTGCTTATCTTAGTAATGATGAATCAGTAACATTTTTTCAAATAAAGAAGATGGTCAAATTTGATTTTTAGAATAATAAGCTCTTGTGACAATGTAGAGGATGGCTTGAGGGACAGAGAACAAATAGACTCCAGCTTTTTGTCCTAAGAGTCTGAAATTTGGGAACTCCCAGTTCATATCCTAAGTTTATTTAATGATTTCTAGTATATTCCATCTCATCCTCCTGAACTAATTCTCTGAACTTGCCTAGAGGAAGCATTGTCTCTCAGCATTTTGTTGAGTTAGTTGTTTTTTTCCTGGACATTTACAAAGATATGGCGATTTGTCACACACAATATTTAGATATAGAAAGTTTATGCCAGTGCTTTCTGATTGATTTTTAGTGTCTTTTTCAATGATGTCTTGCATTTTTCTTGCTTTTTTGTTTAATGAATTTGTTTTATGAATTGGTTGTCACGAGGCGACCATAAATCCTATTGATTGGATTTTCTAGACTTTGAATCTAGAGGAGAACAAATTTATTTAATAGGCATTTACTGTATATCTGCCTTCTGCCAGGCACTGCTCATGGTCCTAGAAATTTAAAAATGAAGGAGGACTATCTCTGTCCTCATGGAATTTACAATATAATAGAAGAGTTCAAATAATTTTTTAGAAAGGCATAAATGCTTATAAAAGTGCATACTTTTAGAGAGGAAAGCACAACTAATTTTGGCGGGCTGTCAAGAAGAATCAGAAAATCTTCCTCCCTTTCAAACTATATGAATGTGGAATTCTTAACTCTTTTTGTAGCATTTGAAAATACAAAATAACAAGAAGGTGCAGTCTTAATCGCCTTTGAGCTCCAGTTCAATTTAAGTCGTGTCCTCTTAACCACTTTCTTATAATGCATTATTTATTCTTAACTGCCCGAGAGTTTGTGAACATTTCTTTTTCTTTGCAAATTCCCCCCAAAGCTCTGGTCTGTTGACTTGTGGCAATCCAAAATGACTTTTCTATAAATAGCATTTTTAATTTAAACACATTAATCCCAGACAGTGGCATCACACTTAGTTTCTGCTTTGGTCCTGTGGCAGATAAGTCTTTCAAGTAGAGCCCAGAAGCTCAGCATGAATTTCATGACCTGCATTTCTTAGTAGCTACTTTGCCTTTAGCATCTTTTCTGCTTGATGAGTTGATAAAAGCTTGTCCTAGTTTCTTGAACCTGTTCTATAGCAATAATTCAGCTTGAATTTATTCTTTCATTCTTGTTTCCTTGAGGTTTAAAACCATTTAGTGCATTGATGTTTGCTTTTCTTTTCTTTTGAGTTGGAGTCTCACTCTCTCGCCCAGACTGGAGTGCAGTGGCCGCTCCCGGTCACCGCAGTCACCGCAGCCTCGATCTGCTGGGTTCCGGCGATCCTTCCACCTCAGCCTTCCGAGTAGCTGGAATTACAGGCACGCGCTACCATGCCCAGTTGATTTTTTGATTTATTGTAGAGATGAGGTCGCTCCAAGTTGCCCAGACGGGTCTCAAACCCGCGGGCTCAGGCAATCCACTCACCTCGGCCTCCCAAAGAACGGGATTACAGGCTGAGCCACCGAGCCCGGCAATGTTTGCTTTTCTAGTCTTAAATTCCAGGGAGGATTTTCTTCCCAAACTCTTAATAAATTCTCTGCAGAGCCAGAGATGTCTATTAATTTTCTCTTTATAAAATCAGAAATTATAATTCAATAAATTTATGTCTCAATATATTCTCTCTCATGTTTATCCTATGGTCTTGAAGTTGATGTTTCTATTCCTCACGCTATAGTACTGCCTTTAACATCTCATGCTTTCTCTATTTTTTATCAAATTCATATAACTTGCCTCTTTTCAGGACCGTGAGAATACCTTCTGACTTACTGGTTTATCTGTGTGATTATTTGTTTTGGTAAATTTTTTAGAAATATGTTACGATAATTTGAGAACCTAAAAAGTTCATTTAGATTGAAGACTGACATTCTTTTCTTTCCTTATCATTCAACAGGGTCACATAAATACACTAGATTTTAACAACTCTTGTATATTTAAAACTGGTGGAAGTATATGTTTTACTGAAAAATTTCCTCCACAACAGATGTGTTGCCAAAATCTATTATCATGTAATCTGTGACAGAAGATAAATCTGAAAGTAGTGATTTCTTCTTAGGAAAAACAAACATTATCTGGAAAGTCATGACATCTGCTTAAAAATATTTTAAAGATTTTCATGCCACTCACTTACCGTTTGTTTGTTTTCTGGTTATAATAGATGCCTATTATAGAAAATATAAGAATATAGAAAAGTATAAAGAAGAAAAATGGAAAGAGTTAGTAATTCCACCATCAGTAAGGTCACCTGTTATTTCTGTGAAACCCCCAATTTTCTCGAAGCCTTAGTCTAGCAACCTCCTACCCTTTTCTAAGTCCTCTTCCACAATAGGCTGTTTAGGACATTCAGAGTGGAAGACTAACTTTAAATACAAGGGTCCTCAGGATTTTTATGGAAGGGATGAAGCTGTAGGAAAAACCTACAAATTGCTCCAGAGATGACATCTTGTTCTTATTTAGTTTTCTTTGAGTCATTAACAGTCGGGCGCCACTGGTGCTGAAACTTATCATTATTATAACCGCAAATGGGTTAATGCCCAAACAAAGCTATATTCTTGGGGCTGGTTCCCAGCTCCACCACACAGAACCCAGCAGCAGCACCCTCCAAATCCCAGGACAATGCTCCACAAATAAGAGGATGTCAAATGTTTAGCCTGGGCTAAAAATTCTCTTCTTTTATCTGGAAGCTTCTAGTTGCTAGCAAGGCAGAGCAAAAGGAAAAATAAATAAATAAAAACCAAGCCAACAAACTCTATAAAAAGAGGCTGTGTGGGTTAGTGGTCAGACCACTAACTTGGATGTTGGGATAGCTGAGATCCAGTTCCAGCTCTCCCACTGACTGGATGGTTGATGTTGGACAAGTCACTTTTGTGACTCGTGCCTCAGTTTCCTACTTAGAAAAAGGATTGCCTTAGAAAGCTTTTATGAGAACACATGAAATTATCTGCAGATAGCTTTTGGTTGTTTGGGAATAAAGTTAAATTATCATTCTGAATAATCACTATCCTATTACTTTATCGATAAAATAAATATGTTATTAATAAATAAGTCACAGGCATGGAACATATGAAACTCCCATACCCTCGAGTTGCGTGGAGGAGGCAGGGAAAAGGCCAATTTAAAAAAATCACATTTGCAGGACTTCACACCAAATACCAAATTAGTAAATTCATCACCTCAAGATACTAAACTCTCCTCCTAGTTTGGCTCTGTCCTTTTATCCTTACCACATTCAAACCCAGAGTGACTCACAGGAGTCTCGAATAAAGACACATATACAATTTTAGGGGAAAGGGAGAATTAGGAGGTTTGAGGCTCCTTGCTTAGGAGGAGGCTAAGAATAGGTTGCTCAGAGTACAAAGAGAAGAACCTCCTCTTCCCTTTTCCTCCCAGTGTAGGTGGTCTACTGGTTTCCCAGTCATTCCTTTGATAGCTTGATTTTTGTTTTCTGTCTTTCTTTTTCACAAAACCTCACCTTATTGGAGGCGGTAGGGGGTGGGAGGACACTAGCTTAAAAAGTGAGGGTAGAGTGGCTTTTTCTGCTAGGTTTGAACTGTAACAAGTGCTACAGACCTCTGATCTGTTGTCAGGAGTGGAGAGGAGCAAAAAGAAATATCTGTGCACTTGAAAACCAATTATTCACCCCTCTTATAGAAGTGAGTAATTGGCACAAAAAGTCTAATAGATGTCCTTGTTTCTGCACTCCCTGCCTCAAGAAGTGAGGAGTAGGAGAAAAGAAAGACACTTAGTAAGGGTAGCAAGTAGTGAGGGATAGGAATTGAAGGAAGGACTAAAGATAAAGAGGAATCGAGGGGAAATGGCAATTATCTCACAGAGACAATTATCTCACAGAGACAATTATCTCACAGAGCACCTTTTTTGTGTCCTGTCACATGCAGAAAAGACACATTCTTCATCTCTAGAAGTAGCCAACGTATACACATGTGAAAGCACTTTGTAGCAATTTAAGATAGTAAATACTAAAGAGATAAAAATAGGTAATGGGATACTGCTTATGGGGACGCATGGGTAGGAGCTATTATTGTGAATTAGGATAACAGCTGTATACAGCAGGAATAATTATGAACTTCAGAAACTGCAGATAGGGACGGCTGACAGCAATTCTTTGACGCCCGGAAACTTGACGGACTCAAAAGAATTATCCACTTCAGATTCCTCTAAAACCATGTCTTCAAAAACGCGAATTCAGTGAAACCTCGACCGCCGCGAATCCACGGTTCCCGGAACTTGTGTTGCCAGCTCCGCTTTGCGATACGGAGACTTTTTGCGGAACACCTCCTCCGCCTCCCGCCTCCCTTCCCGCCTCGTGGGTGCCATGGCAACGGAGAGACGGCGACCTGGGTTCCGGAAACCGGAGAGCTAGAGCTTTGAAGCCACCCGGGTCAAAGGATGCTGAGTCCAGAGCGCCTAGCCCTACCGGACTACGAGTATCTGGGTAGGAGCTTCCTTCAACTTTGGGGAAGGCAAGATGTGAAATCGAATACTAGGCCAGGGTCTGCGAGGGGCCGGGGGCGGGATCTGAGTGGGATCCGGTTGGGTAGGGTGCGGTGGGGAGGGGCGGAGAGGCGGGCGTTCCAGGGCCTGAGTCTGTATGGCGGAGAGGGGAGGAAAAAGCATCAGCGGAGTAAAACTGTGGGAAGTGTCCGAGCTGGAACTCAGGCAATGTGGGTTGTGTTCAGAGTGGGTCAGGTTGGAGTTGAGGATTTGGGGCACTGTTGGGGTGTTATTGATAGGCTGGCGGTAGAGCAAGTAACCTTGGAACCTGAAGTGCCACATCAGTCATTCCGTGAATAATTATCTTATCGTTAGAGCCTCAGCGAACGTTGTGAGCTTTTCTTTTTCATTAGGCACTGTGCTAAGCATCTAAGCATTTTACCTACATTATTCTTTATGTGAACTTCTCAACAGCCCTAGGAGGAATTACTATGGCTCCTTCCAGTTTTGCGGATGGAGAAACTGAGGCTGAAGAAGCAACATGCATAATTAAGTCCACACGGCTAGAAAATGGTAGAACTAGGATCAGAACCGTATTTGCCCATTCCCGAACTTGAGATCTTGACTTAGCCCCTGAGCTAAGATTGTGACTGTTATACTTTATTGAGCACCTTCAGTGTATAAGGCATTTACTGGATGAGAAAAGGTACAAACACAGATTTGTGCACACAAACATATGCACGCAAATACATACATATTTATTTGTTTGTTTGTTTGTTTGTTTGTTTGAGTTGGAGTCTCGCTCTGTCGCCCAGACTGGAGTGCAGTGGCCGCTCCCGGCCACCGCAGCCTCGACCTGCTGGGCTCGGGCGATCCTTCCGCCTCAGCCTTCCAAGTAGCTGGAACTATAGGCGCGCGCTACCACGCCCGGCTAATTTTTAAAATTTTATTGTAGAGATGAGGTCTCGCCAAGTTGCTCAGGCGGGTCTCGAACCCGCGGGCTCATGCAATTCACTCACCTCAGCCTCCCAAAGGTGCGGGATTACAGGCTAAGCCACCGAGCCCGGCGCAAATACACATTTAAAACAATTCATACACTTTATTTTATTTTAGAGTTTTAAGTTCTCGGAAAATTGAGCAGGTAGTACAGAGAGTTCTCATATACCTTCTCTCTCCCCCACTCATAGTTTCTCCTGTTATTAACATCTTGCATTAGAGTGGTACATTTGGTACAATGGATAAACCTATATGGATACTAAAGTCCATAGTTTACATTAGGGTTCATTCTTTGTGTTATATAGTGCTATGGGTTTTGACAAATACATAGTGTCATGTAGTCACCATTACACTATCATATAGAATAGTTTCGTTGCCTTAAAAATCCTATGTGCCCACCTATTCAGCCTTCTCCCTCATTCGCAACACTTAGCAAGCACTGATCTTACCGTCTTTAAAGTTTTGCTTTTTCCAGAATATCATATGGTTGGAAGCATACCATGTGTAACCTTTTCAATGGGCTTCTTTCACTTAGCAATTGGCAGTTTCCTCCATTTATTTGCTTTTTATTACTGAATAATATTCCATTGTCGGGATGTACCATACACATCTTTTAAAATGGAAAACATTTTTGTTTTGAATTTTTTATTTTGATTTTTAGAGACAGGGTCTTACTCTGTCATCCAAATTGGAGTGTAGTGGTGCAGTCATAACTCACTGTAGCCTTAATCTCCTAGGCTCCAGTGATCCTCTTGTCTTGGCTTCCCAAAGTGCTAGTATTACAGGGCCATGCCCAGCCTTGGTTTATATTTTAGAATTGGTAATATGGAAAGGGTTTCAAAATCTTTTTTTTTTTTTGAGTTGGAGTCTCACCCTGTCGCCCAGACTGGAGTGCAGTGGCCGCTCCCAGCCACCGCAGCCTCGACCTGCTGGGCTCCTGCGATCCTTCAGCCTCAGCCTTCCGAGTAGCCGGAACTACAGGCATGTGCTACCACACCCGGCTGATTTTTTGATTTATTGTAGAGATGAGGTCTCGCCGCCCAGGCGGGTCTCGAACCCACGGGCTCAGGCGATCCACTCACCTCAGCCTCCCAAAGGCGTGGGATTACAGGCTGAGCCACCGAGCCCGGCTCAAAATCTTTTTTAAATATAAAGAGGTTTATAATGAAAAGTCTCCTCTCACTCCTTTACCCCCAGTTTCCATCTGATCCTTAGCTCTCTCCAAATAACCACTGTTACTGATTTCCAGTGTATCCTTCCAGAGTGTATTATGCATATAAGGGAGAATGCAGTGTCTATGTTTTTTCATTTAATATATCACAAAGTAATTTCTATATAAGCAAAGGGCTTCTTCATTCTTTTTGAAATTTAACTTTTAGCTATAAATCTCTAAATAATTTAATTAACCAACCCCATACTGGTAGACAAACTGTTTTTAGCCTTTTGCTATTACTAAAAATGCAGCAAAGAATAACGTGCAATTTTGTTCCTTTGCTAGTGTATCTGCAAGGATAAATTCCACAAAGTGGAATTGGTGGATCAAGGGCAATATGCATTTGAAATATTGATAGATATTGCCAAATTGCCCTGCATAGGGGTTGCACCATTTTACACTGCCACTAGCAATGTAAGAGAATGCCTATTTCCCCCACAGACCTTTCAACAAAATAGATCAAACATTTGGAGTTTTTCATTCTAAGTGACAAACATCTCAGGGTAGATTTGGTGTATGTTTCTTTTATGAAGTTGGGTGTCTTTACACCAAGTTTAAGGGTTATTCTGTTTTTGAAATGTAAGTATACACAAATGTTTATATACATAAACGTATGTGTATATCTATAGAGAGAGAGAGAGGGAGGGAGGGAGGGGGAGAGGGGGATGGAGGGGGAGAGAGAGAATGAGTTTAAGACAAGTGACCACATCTATTAATCAGCTAAAAGCAGATACTTATATCCCAGGTAATTTTGTATCCAATGAATAAAAATATCATTGTCTAGTAATGCCTACCTAGACTTTTGATAAAGAAATTGTGTATTTTATCTTATTTACCCAGTACTCAATGAATCTATGAAATATTTGAAAATTCTAGTTCATTGTTCAGTTCCCTAGGTATTTGCTGTTGAAATGATGTGTCTCAGAGCCTTGGTATATGTGGTATACAGGTACTTAGGTGATTCAAAGTTGCTGGTCCCTCCATAAGTGACTTTTTTAGGAAGATTAATTAAGTGGCGATGTTGACAGTTAATCTACAAGCAGAATCAAAGTCTCAGATTGGTTGAAAAAACTTTAATGCTTGTGAAGTCCAACCTCTCACCTAATGCTTGAATCCTTTACAAATAGTCTTTCAGGCTTTGTTGCATATTTAAGTGTCTTAATTTCCTGTTCCATGAAGTAGACATTCATACTGCCCTCAGCGTGGTCATACTACTCACTGGCTTCTCTTAGTTCATCGAACCATAAAACTCTCCTGAAATGCGTTTGTTTTCAGTTGAGAGCCACCCTTGCCTATTACTATTTGGTCTGTCTTTGAGGCATGCTGCTTTGACCCATTTACCCTCACTTTAATGACCACTTAAAACCACTCCCTGTAGATTAGATTAAATTTTTAAATACCTGTGAGTTTTAAAATTTATGTTTTACAAATTATAAAGTCACTAGCATATGTGGGTCTAAATAAGAAAATACATATAGAGAAAAGAAAATTGCAGAGACAGGAAAGCCCTAGGCATTCAGTGAAACAAAAAAACCTGATGCTGACAGCCCCTTGGTAAGTGTGCCTGGAGCCCTCTTTCCAGAATTATGCTATAAATTACAGGGATATCTATTCAATGAATATCTACAGATATTCTTCTCTGTCTGCTCTCCAGGGATTATATTTGCCTTTTTGACTATTAGTGAAGAAAACAATCTTTCATCATGATGGGTAAACTGATCTTTTTCCCACTGACTTTGTGGATTAGGAACCTGTAATCATGACCTGACATGGCTTAAAATGTTAAGATTATCATTCAAGAATAGCTCAAGCCGGGCTCGGTGGCTCAGCCTGTAATCGCGCGCCTTTGGGAGGCTGAGGTGAGTGGATTGCCTGAGCCTGTGGGTTCGAGACCTGCCTGGGCAACTTGGCGAGACCTCATCTCTACAAGAAATAGAAAAATTAGCCGGACATGTTAGCGTGCACATGCAGTTCCAGCTACTTGGAAGGCTGAGGTGGAAGGATCGCTGGAGCCCAGCAGGTCGAGGCTGCAGTGGCCGGGAACGTGCCACTGCCCTCCAGTCTGGATGACAGAGTAAGACTCCAGCTCAAGGAAAAAAGAAAAAAGAATAGCTCAATGGTGTTCATGTCTGTAGTCTCAGAATGTAGTGATAGGCCAGATGTGGTGGCTCATGCTTGTAATCCCAGCACTTTGGGAGGCCAAGGCAAGAGGATCTCTTGAGCCCAGGAGTTCAAGTCCAGCCTGGGCAAATAGTGGGACCTTGTCTCTACAAAAAATCACGAAATTAGCTGAGTGTGGTGGTATGTGTCTGTAGTCCCAGATATTCAGAAGGCTGAGGCAGAAGGCTCTCCTGAGTCCAGGGGCTGTGATAGTGCCACTGCACGCCAGCCTGGGTGACAGAGTGAGACCCTGACTCAAAAAAAAAAAAAATGTAGTGACAAAAATTGTTAATGCCCAGGCCCAGAGACAAGAGAGCCTGGTAAGGAAATGGACTAAGTATAGAATCCTTTGTGTAAGACTCAAGTAAGATTTCCAGCCTCCTGAAAGCTACTTAATGGAAGCTTCTGCCAGAAGTTGAGGTGTGTCTGTGTGTCTGGTTGGGTGTGGAGAATGCTCTAGAGCCGAAGGGCCGCTTGTTCTGGTCCCAGGTTTGCCGAACACACCACCTACGTGCTGACCTGAGTATAAGCATGAGGGTGTGAGGTTTATTTATTTTTATTTACTCCACCTCCTTTGCTGATGTACATGCTTTCACTTCTGCTCTAAGTTGCCTCTTCTGTTTCCAAGGAAC